GTGCTCTGTGCAAGGTAACCCTGTGAAATACCAGATTGCTGTATGTCCATGGTGTGTTGTCTCCACAGGGAAACCGTCTTCACTTACTTCAGAACATCACCTCCAGAGGTGATAAGACTGGGCTATTAGTGGGCATAATTTTTCATTTGCTTTTTTTTTGTTTTGTTTTATTTTGGCTTTTTGCACTGGTCATCGGGATGTTCTGGGGTCTGGTTTCCAAGCAGGAAAGGAAAGTAAGCAAGTGACCTCCAAGTACCAGGCCTGCATTCAGCAGAGACAGTCTATAAAGATGACAACACTACAGCAAAGCCTCAGGAGGCTCTGGGGAAAAGAAAGGCCACCATCCCTTTACACGATGGGGCTCAACTTTGAGATGTTTGACTGGAAATGATGCTCATCCTCCCAAACAAAGTAGCCCGTTCTCTTGTGTGCCTTAGGTATTCATGTGTCCATGCATTTAACTGTTTGGGTGCATGTGTGGTAGAGACCAGGGGTGACTGTTGAGTGAGTCTGGCTGGTCAGCAAGCTCCAGCGATCTGCCTGTCTTTACCTCCCCAGCATGCAGGATCAGAGGCCTTTACTGCTACACCCAGTTTTTTTATGTGGATGCTGAGGACTGAGTTTAGTTCCATATTTTGCTGTTTAGTTTTGTTTATCCCGTGCTGCCAGACAGGGTTACCTGGGAAGAGAGACCCTCATTTGAGAAATTATTTCTATCCTATTGGTCTGTAGGCAAGTCTGTGGGTGTTTTCCTGATTAAGGATTGATGTGGGTGGGCCAGCCTACTGTGGGTGGTACAACTCCTGAGTGATACAAAAGAGCAGGCTGAGCGAGTCATGGAGAGCAAGCCAGTAAGTAACACTGTAGCTCCATGGCCTTGGCTTCAGTTCCTGCCTCCAGGTTCCTGGCCTGACTTTCCTTTATGGTGACCTAAAAGTTGTAAGATGAAATAAACCCTTCCTTCTCCAAGTTGTTTTAGGTCTTGGGGTTTGTCACAGCAAGAGTGGAAAGAAACTAGAACACCATAGTTGAGCAGCAAATACATTACTGACTGAGCTATCTCCTTTGCCCCTTATTTTTGATCACTCTAGACTTAGCTGTCCAGGCTTCCCACAGCAAGATTGTGTGCAAGGTCTGGAAACATGAGGGCAGGGTGGACAGACGAAGGGTAAGAAGCCCAGTCAGCAGGGGAAGACAGGAAGACCACAGCAGCAAATCACCTTAAAACCGAACCTCTGCAATTCTCCACACTCTGGGGGACAGAGACCAAGAATGGAGCCAAAGCCTAAAAGAGGTGCCCAGCTGGTGACCAGTGCCAGGGTTCCAGCATGCTGAGTCTCCAGGAATGCAACTACAGGGAGATGATCTCTAAAGCAGTCATGAGTCCCATGTTTGGGAGCTCAGAGCCAACCAAGAAATAGGGTCAAGGTAGTTAAAATAGATAGATACAAATGCTGGTCCAGGAGTGTAAAACATTAAAAAAGCAAACACATAAAATAATAGCTCTAGAGAGGCTCTGTTCTCATGGCTTTGCACACATTAGACCTCTGAACCTGCCACTGTAACGAGTACGGTTTTTCCTCCCACCGCCTGGTATTGTCCTGCCGCCACGCCGCCAGCCCCAAATAATGCACAGAGACTCTGTATTAGATATTATGTTATTGACCAGGTACTAGTTTCTTATCGGCTAGCTCTGCACCATCATAAAGTAAGTACAAACATTTAAGATGGCCCCTGGATCTTAGCAGAGCCAGAGAATGGGAGACAGAGAAAAGATGAGATTTGGGGTTCACCTTGAAGCAGTGGGAAGATTAGTGGGAGGCAGAAAGGGTGACAGGCACACTAAGGGGCATGGGGAGCAGGGCTTGTTCTGCTATGTCTAGGAATCAAATCTGGCTCATTTCATAAATCAGTTTTCTTGGAACGTAGCCTTGTCCACTGTGTTTGGCCTCCGGCTGCTTTCGTGCAGCAGGGGTAAGCTGGGCAGCTATGACAAAGCCTGAGACCATATACCCCACAAGGCCAGGCCCTTTGTTGCATCTGATGACCTAAGACTTGGAGCCTCACTCTTTAAAAGGAAGTCTATGAATCAACAGAGAGGAGGTCCACCAGAGCTGGGCAGCAGGAAGCATGCAGCCCGTCCTGGACCTGAGGAATGGGGGGCCGGGGATGACTGTCCTTTAAAAAAGGTTTCAGGAGATTCTTCTGCACAGAAAGGAACTGAGAAGATCCAAGTCCGCACGCCCAAGCACAGACAGGAGGGCAGGAGCACCTCCCTTATCAGTGTTGTGGTTCAGAGATTTTTATTGTTGTTGATGTTTGTTTGTTGGTTTGAGACAGGGTTTCTCTGCATAGCCCTTGCTGTCCTGGAATTCACTCAGTAGATCAGGCTGGCCTTGAACTCACAGAGATCCACCTGCCTCTGCCTCCCAAGTGCTGGGATCAAAGGCGTGCACCACCACCTAGCTGATAGTTCAGATTAACAACAAGCCCAACCATGCAGTGAGGTCTCATTTCTACCTCTTCTTTCTCCTTAGCTTCATTAATACCTTTGAATGCCTTCTGACAACTGGGACACAGTTGGGACTTATTAGGAAATAGAAAATTAGCTTGGGTATAATACCACCAGTTATCATGTACTTCTATGTATAACAAATATATCATCTCTGGGCCATGCCTCCAAGAGCCAATGTGTAGTAACCAAAGATATTAATTGGGTGACAGGGAAGTTGAAAGATGAACACAGGACACATGCAGTCTGGACCTACTCTGTGGACAGTTAACGTTGGTTCCTGGGATACTTATAGCTGTGATGCCTTACTGGTGCAACTTCTTTCTCCCCTTCAAATGAGCAACTTTCCAGAATTTCAGGCAAATGAACAATTTAAAGTTTCAGGGAAGCAAAGCAGTGCTCTGGACTATTCCGCCAACAGCACTCCCTCCCTCTTCTAGCTCAGTTTGACAGCTTCCGAGTAATCGTTTAACATTCTACCGTCTTAAAATCTAGAAACATTTGACAGGGTTATTTGTGGGATTCGTGGTGCTTAAAAGTAATGATGGCAATACCGATAAAAATAGATGTGTGGAAAGGGCACACTACTTATTTTTTTCATGCTTAGCTTTAATACTGTACATTCAAGGCAGGGGCAATCCAGAGGTAGGAGTGTGCACAGCTAATTTTGATAAGTATGTATAATATAAATCTCAAGGCAAAAAAGAAAAGCCATGAGAGCTGGCTCAGTGGTTAAGAGCACTGGCTGCTCTTCCAGAGAACCCCGCTTCATCTCCTAGTACCCACATAGCACCTCACAACTGTTTGTAACTCCAGTTGCAGGGGATCCGACAACCTCACACCAATGCACATAAAATAAAATTAAAGAAAGAAAAGCCAAAAAACCTGTGCTAAGCAGAATTCCCATGTGATTCAATAATAAAAGCCTTTAAAAGTCTGTGGATTTGGCACATGGCTAATGGCATTTAGTAAAAGTAACATTTACAAAGCACTGAGTCTGCACTGTCTCAATGCCACAGTGCAGATGATTTCATTTAACCCTGAAGGCATGGGGACATTAGCTCCATTCTATACAAGGGGAAACTAAGGCACAGAGAGCTCACACCACTTGTCTGGGGACCTGACGGCCCACTAAGAGACAGAGGTGAGATACGAACAAGGCTCTACTCTGGGAGGTCTTATTTTAATCTGCAAAGGATTTGATATCTCATACCATAAGCCCTGCAGCCAGTGGTCACCACCTGCTGTGCAACATACTAACACCAAGGGACAAGGAGGTGCATCCAAATGAAGACACAGGCTTATCTTTTGACAGGACAAAACACCAACGAAGCCCGGAAAAAGTCTGAAACGCACTATTTGTTAATAATGAAGACATTTCTACAGACACATTATCTTTAGGCCAACATATTTATGAAGTGCTTCAGTGAAGCTACAACAGGCACAGGCCTAATGCTATCAGGGTAGCACTCCCCAGCTGGTTGTGCATGCTTATTTAAGTAATTGCCTGAACATAAATGAACGGGGGTATTAAAGTAAAGTTGGCACAAGGGACGGCATCCACACGGCACATTCTTTGTTCCAGGCCCTTCATTCTGTCAGTACTCTTGGAAAAAAGAGCAGCCGCTAAATAAATCATGGAAGTACACGAGACTGCATAAGGCCTTTTATAGTCTCCAAATGGTCATGCAGCTTATATAAAGTTCATTTTCGACTTCCCCGTTTAAATGTTAGCAGCCTCAAAATAAGATCCGGGCTATTTACCTGTAAGAAGATACAATTAGAAAATAGGGCAGGAAGAAGAAAAACCAGGCGACAGGAGAGGCGGCAGGATGGCTAAGTATGAGGGGGTCGCCAGGGCTCCAACCAGTTTAATCAGCCACTTCGGTTTTGCCCATTTAACTTTACCCATTGCGGGGGGGGGGGGACACACCCTACTGGAGGTATTTCCACAAATACAGATAAGGGAACCGGTTTGTTATTTGAAGGCATGGACTGTCTGTGTGATTCCGGGGTGTCCTCGGAGTGCGCGGTGACAAGCTCAATTAAGGCTGCATGACACCTGGCTCTCGCTCGAGTTCGGGTGCTGAGGACAAAAGGGCCGTCCCTAGGAGCGCGCGGGCGGCCGCTCCCGGGAGCGGGGCTGCGTCCCCCGGAACTCGGGTGTGTTCACTGGAGAGGGGCTGGGACCTTTGGAGAGGAGCTTCATTCCCCGGCGCCGGACTGCATCCTCGGAGCGAGGTTGTGTCCCCGGGAGCCGGGCTCCATCCCCGGAATCAGGCTGCAACCCGGAGAACAGGGCAGCATCCCTGCAGTCAGGCAGTGTCCCCGGGAACCCGGTTGCTTCCCTGGGGCTGGGAGCTTCCCCAAGAACGGGACCGCGTCCCCAAGAACCGGACTGCATCCCGGGAGCCCGGTGCTTCCCCCGGAGCGGGCTGCAGTCCCGGTGCCCGCCGCCGGCAGCGCAGGGTGCGGGTCGCGCACTCACCTTCCTCCTGGAACTCCAGCTTCTCCAGCATGCCGGCTTCCGCGGGTCCCGGGGCCGCCGCCAGCGCCGCCTGAGGGGGAGGAGGAGGACACGGATCAGCATGGGCCGCGGCGGTCCGGAATCTCTCGCCCCGGGAGGAGGGGCCTGCAGCGGCGGCGGACGCGCGCGGCGGTGGGAGCGCGCGGCAGGCCAGGGCGGAGCGCGTCCCCGCCCAGGCCCCACAGCCGCAGGTGGGCCGCGATGGCACGCTCCGCTCCCCCCGCGCCTTTGGTACGGCCCGCGAGCAAGCGTGGGAAGGGGGAGCGGCGGTCCCAGCGCTTCGTCCGCCGCGCGCACCAGCGGGCACGCGCGTCCTCGCGCAGGTGTGGGCCCTGCGCGCCCTCGGCGGGGGCGCGCTTCTCTCTCGGGGCCCCGCGCAGGCGGCATACCGCTCCCATAAAAGGAGAGGCCGCCCGCGGGGCCGCGCTGCGCCAGCACTTTCGCGCGCTCTGCAGTCCCTCCCCACCCCCTGCGCGGCGGATCTCTAAACTGGCTTCCTCCACTCGCAGCTCGCTCTTTCCTCACTGCCGCAGCTTGCTGCCAAAAGTTCACACAATTTAAATCTGGCCCCGGGCACGCCCGTCACCCTGAACTTGGGTATCTGAGACTTGCCTATCGCCAACTCGGGTTGGCAGGCAAAGAGGCTGGCAGCCGCCTGCAGGGAGGGGCCCGAGGCTGCAGACGGCCAGCACCTGCGGGGGGCCCCCGACCTTGGCGGGGAACTTGTCATTCTTACAAGCACAGAAGAGGAAGTACAGACCTCTTTATAAATACCTTAGATTGGTCAATAACTAAATCTAAAGCGTCCCCTCTCAAAGAAAAAGTTATGATAAGTTGTCTTGTGATTAAAAAAAATAAGCGTTTTGTCATGCTTTTAGTGAAAAAAAAAAAAAAAACTGAACACGTCTAAGTTCAGGCGCTCTTACTCAACCAAGCACAAGGGATAAAAGGCAGATAGATTGGAAAAGACAGCCCCAGTTGGGGAGTTGAATGTGAGGGGATAAAGGAAGAGTTGGAGGGGAAGAGGGTGGACCAATATGATCAAAACACATCCTATGTTAGGGCTGGAGAGGTGGTTCAGCGGTTAGGTGCACTTGCTGAGCTCCTTGAGCTGTTTCCAGTACCCACAGGGCAGCACACGACTCTTGTAACTCCACTTTCAGGAGATCTGGTGCTCTTTCTGGCTTCTGCATGCAGGTGGTACACACATATTCATGCAGGAAAAATACAAAAAAAAATTTTTTTAATGTATGCATGTGTGAAGTTCTCAGAATATATTAAAAATATTAAAAACATACTACTTGGGAAAGAAGAAATGAAGCAGTTCAAACAGCAGGCTATTCACATACACAATCCCAAAGACTGCAAGCAAACCAAACTACAGCTAGGAAGACAGTGAGATCATAGGATCAACACACTGCATCTGGTATAATAAAAATAAAGGTGGGGAAGCTGGTATCAAATACTGTTTACAATCTCTGCAAAGGAAGTTAGTACATAAAGTAAATGTAGGAAACCACATACAGGGTTCATATTCTAAAAACTTCACAATGTGGGTAAGGTGGTAATCAATGAGGGGAAATCAATGACCAGAGGTGTTGTGGAGTTTAAGATGTGTGACATTCATTTATGCTGTGGAATTTTGTTTAATGATGGAAACATGTGTTGCAAAATTTTATGTTGCATTTGTTTAACTGTGAAGCTGTGTTACTTTGCCTGTCTAAAACACTGACTGGGCTAATAAAGAGATGAATGGCCAATAGCTAGGCTGGAGAGAGGGATAGGCGGGGCTGCCAGGCAGAGAGAATAAGTAGTGGGAGGAATCTAGGATCTGGAGAAGAGAGAAGGAGAAGGAGAAAAGGAGGAGAGGACACCAGGGGCCAGCCATCCAGCCACACAGACAGCCATGGGGTAAGAAGGAAAGAAAGATACATAGAATAAAGAAAGGTTAAAAAGTCCAGAGGCAAAACATAATTAAAGAGAAATGGGCTAAAATAATTTAAGTTAGACAAGCTAGCTAGAAACAAGCTAAGCTAAGGCTAGGCATTCATAAGTAAGAATAAGTTTCCGTGTATTTATTTGAGACCTGGGTGGTGGGTCCCCTAAGAGTAAAAAAACAAAAACAAAACAAAACAAACAAAACCCAGCAGCATAGAGGTAATCTGGAAGACCCAACAAAAAAAGGTCAGTTATCTTCCATGGTTATCTTTGGGTCTCTTTCAGTTCCCGTCAAAATCCCAGGAACTTTGTTTTGTAGACACAGATAAGCTGATTTTTTTTTAAACGCACATGGGAAGGTACAGTTTTGGAATACCTGAAATAAACTAGAAGGAAGTGGAAGGAGTAATCTTTCCCACCTTTCCAGTAGGGGCTCAATGTTCAAGGCCCATTGTTCCTGGCAGACAGACAGACCTACAGTTAAATCCCAGCACCCTCACCAGGGGGCTTATTCTGTCTGCAACTCCAGATCCAGTGGCCTTTAGGGCAACTGCACTTATGTTGCTCAAACCCACAAAGAGAGACAAAATGTACATAAATTAAAAACATAATAAAAAAAATTCCTTTAATCCCAGCACTCAGGAGGTAGAGGCAGGCCCATCTCTGTGAGTTCTAGGCCAGCCTGGTCTACAGATCAAGTTCTATTCAGAGAAAACCTGTTTCAAAAAACCAACCAACCAAAACAAAACAAACAAACACATCTTTTAGACAAGCTCACAGTATAGCTTAGCAAACAGGACTATGTGATGTTAGCAGAGAAACAGGTATGTAATCAAGCGCAGGGCAGAAACGCACCCAAGCAAATGTTAAGCCAAGCTTGGTAAATTCAGGAAGGTGAAAAAAAAAAAATGAGAAAATCTTTGGGCCCTAGGATTAGGCAAAGAGACTCACACCAAAAGCATTCTCCATAAACGCGGAGAATTGATAAATTAAATCTCAAAATGGGAGAAAGTATTTGCAAGCCACATAGTCAACATGACTAGCGTTTTGAATATAAAGAGAATGCTGAAAGTGCAGAGAGCATCTTATCAGGGCACAGACAAAATGAATGAAGAGACAGTTCACCAGAGAGGGTCGGGGTGTGCTGCAGAGATAGCACCAGGCACAAGAGAAAGGGTCAACATCAGCCTTCAGGGTGCACAGATGGGCACAGACCGCAACAAGACCTACACACACATGCACAGAAATAAAAGTAAATCTGACTGGAAAAAAATCCGGAATGAAAACGGTGTTCTGAAAACACCTTGGCAGTTTCTTATGAAGCTACCCACAACTACAAATTACACAACAGTGGTTTTCTTGAGTATGTATCCCAGGGCAACAAAAGCTGTCTGTGTACAAAGAAAAGCTACACCAGGATGTTCACAGCAACTGCCCTTTTAAAAGCCTCAATGGGCAGTTACAGGTGCCATGAACTAGACAATCGGTTAAAACTCAGCAAACCATCTACATCATGGAACATTGTGCTGTAGCTTCAAAAGGTCAACCAGCTGGGTGGTAGTGGCCCAAGCCTTTAACCCCAGCAGTCGGGAGGCAGAGGCTAGCAGATCTCTGTGAGTCTCAGGCCAGCCTGGTCTACAAAGTGAGTTCCAGGTCAGCTACATAGAGAAACCCTGTCTCTAAACCAAAAAGAGAAGGTCAACTAATTACACGTTTGACAAACTGGGCATGGTAGTGCACACCTTTGATCTCAGCATTCAGGAGGCAGAGATAGGTGGATCTCTATGAGTTCTACGCCAGTCTGGTCTACATAGTGAGTTCCATGCCAGCCAGAGCCACAGTGAGACCCTGTCTTAAGTAAAACTTGGACACGTGTCCTGGAAGTTATCCTGAGTCAAATAACAGCCATTTCTAAGGGTAATATATTCATGTTATGTTCTGAGATGACAAAATTACAGAAACTGAGTACAAATTAGTGGATGCTAGGGGTGGACAGAAGTGACCATGGCTTTTTATAAAAGGTCAACTTGAGGGACCTTGGGGGTGACAGACCTGTTCTGAATCTGTGTCAGTGTCCACACCCTGCTTAAGATGTCACACTGCCCTTCCCCCCACCAATTTTGCGGAAGAAATGACAATTGGGATTTTAAAAAGTATTTATTGGAAAAAAACAGCTCATCCACTTAGTGCAGTGATTTTCAGCGTATTCAGAGTCATGTGAGCAAGTCTGCAACATTTTCACCATCCCAAAGAGAAACTGTGTTCCTAGTACTTATTACCTGCTGAGCGCTCTCCTCCATCTTGGGGCTAATCTATCTTTGTCTCTATTTGCCCTATACTAGGAGTTTCATTCACTAAGTGTTTCATATACATGGGATCATACATTATGTCGTCTTCTGTCACTGCTTTCCATAACTACTTCTCTCTCTCTCTTTTTAAATGATTGAATAATATTCCACTGTGCAGATATATTAATTACATTTAGTCCATTCCTCAGCTGGTGAACCTTTAATTAGGTAGTTCCCACCTTTTGGCTATTACAAACATTACAAACATTGACATTTATATATCTGTGTAGACATGCATTTTCATTTGGGGGGGTGTTAAATACCTTAAATACCCTGGAATGGAGTTGCTGGGTCCTATTCTGTTGGCAATTTCACGTTTAATGTTTTGAGGAACTGCCAAATTGGGTTACACCATGGCTGTAGCACTTGCCAGCAGTATGTGAGGTTCCAACTTTCATGAAAGACACAAGGCAACTCCACAGTGCTGTAGTGAGAGATGTCCACCCGGCCTGCACCTGATGGGGGCATGTGGACAGGTGTGGGCGTGACTGGTGGGGGCTAGGTCTGGGGTCCCAGACCCCAGCTCCATCTCTTACTTCCTGGTCTGAGACAGAGAGCATCTAGGGGTATCCTTGGAATGTGAACCTGTAGTGGTCATCTTTTTCTGGTGTAAGTGATTTCTCCTCAAATAATATCCATCAGCCTCTACTGTATCCCGGAATCTTATTTTCCACGCAATACAGTGTATCTTGCAACTGTACCTAAGCCTACCATTGTCTCAAAAGAATGACTCTGGTGATAAATG